AGCATCATAAGGTTCAGTACCAACTTCCGGCCTCCAGAACCACAAGAATACATTTCTGTTGGTCTAAGCCACTACATTTATGGTAATTTTTTCACAGCAGCGATAGGAAACTAAGACAAACCTGGTCAAATAACAGTGGCTCCTAAACACATCCTGCTGGTCTTTTTTCTGGGGTTGCCTTTCCCTTTCTTGGAGGTGCTTCTTCACACCCTTTGTCTGCTTTCCTGCCCCTTCCTTAAGATTCAGCATCACCACCGCCTCCTGCTTTCCTGGCTGCCCCAGGCTGGGTGAGGGTCCCTTGTCCAGGTTTGCACTGCACCTGAGTATTTTCTTACCTTTGCAGTCACTAAAAGGTATTATCGTGGTGTTTATGTGTCTGACTCCCGAACTAGGCTGTTTTTCCTGGAGTCCTCCATAGGGATCGGCATATAAGAGTTCTCAGTAAAGATGTACTGAATGAATGAACAAACAAGTGATTACAGCTTCTTGACTTCCTGGATACAGGTGACTTTTCCATCCTCTCTTTAGCTGTATTTTTTTACAGCTTATCCCTTTGCCCTTGCACCTAACTGAACCCTAAGAAATTTCCAAGGCAAACATCCACTAGGGTCACGAGGGGGGTGAGGATTAGAACTTCTGATGCAGAATGTGGTAAAGCCTAATTCTTTCTTAACCTTCCTTGAGTTTCTCAACCTGGCCCTGGCAGTACCGGCAACTCAGCCACTACTTCCTGCCATCTCAATACCTCTTTGATGATTCATAGGCTCTACAACCCAACTGACTATTTTTAATGTATAATATGATTTACTTACCAATATGGCTCATAGTTAAAATTCTTAGAGCTAGTTATGCACTATTAACCAAGTAATACAGTTTGAGTGGGATTATTATAGGTCTCCATGTACTATTTGATAAAGGTATTAATCTAAAGCTATAAATGCAGATTTATTTTGCAAATTGTTTCTCTACAATTGTCACCCGACCACTGCAACATGATTTTCCTCTGTGTCAGACAAGACAGGTTGCCATCTTCTTCAAGGTCTATAACTTTGGCGAGACTTTACGATGAAACTATGTAAAACACACAAACAGAAAACCAAAGATGCACCAGAGCAAAGCAATAAGGAATTATAAACTACTTTTAATACATCAACAGGACGAATTTCAAACCATGTTGAGAATTTATATTTTAAAGTTTAAATCTAGTTAATATATTCTAACTGTGACATAATCCTCTAAGGATAAAAGTATTCATGATGGCAAATGGACAGTACAATCATTTAGGCAGCACTTAGGAATATTGCTACAGTTACTTTACATAAATAGAAATCCATGTCTTTATTAGTAAGGTATCACACATCTTAGAGTAAAAATTCAGATGAGACAGGCTTATAAATATACATAAATCTCCAAATCAATCACAATTGAACATTAAATACATAATTATTATAAAACAAATATAATCCATCAATGTCTGTTTAAAGGCATCATTTTTACAAAATAGTATTTTATAGACAATCTCAAAAAAGGATATTAATGCTCCTGGAGCCAGGTTGTTCCAGCGTATCAACGCAGCTGTGGGAATAAGGCATGTGGAGAAGCTGCATTTGCTCTTCCAGGTGGCCAGACATTCTATGTGATGAAACGGTAACCGCCCTGGGGACCTGGGTGAATGCCATAACCCCTGCAGCACCCCATGACCCAAGAGAACCGCTTACTCTCCAGAAGAATGGAACTGAACAGCTACTTGCCTGACAGCAAATATCGAGGGGAGGGGTGGACTAAAAACATTAGTCAAAAATCAGTATATTTTAAATGAGAAATTCCAGATATGAATGATTCACTTAAATTTTCAGCCATATTTAAAATCACATTAGCATAGCCATTATTTTCATGAAGCCGAACTTATATTCAAATCACCTATGAAATATAAAAACAAGGAAGTCCAACTGGAAACTAAGTAATTGAATAAATAACTAATCAAATTAAATACAAAACAAGCATGGGTTGCATCAACATGCCATGTACTCAGTTAACACTAGTCTCCATTTCTTAACTAACAGTAAAAAGAAGCCAAACTCAACAATGATACTTTATACATTCTTAACAATTCATATAATGTTGAATGGAGGAGGCAAGGCTTATAAAAGGATCTAGGAATCCTTTCTACAAACTAAAGTACTATAAACTCCAGGGTCATTTTGCCTGTAATACACACAATGTTTTGCATCTTGGGTTTTAAAGTATTCAAGAGATTAGAAACAAAAACAATCTTGGCAAAGACCTTCAAATGGTCATGGTATATATATACATATATATAGGCATTTATGTGTAAATACAGACCGCATTGTGTATGTACAAACATATATACAAACACTGAGAATAATCAAACTGTTCACTAAACATAGCCAATTCTGTTTAGAGAACAAAGACATACAATTATATACAACTAAATATACACATCTCAGCATTTGGCCTGTTGCAGTGGTTCTGAAACATTTTTCCATTATGATACACAAGGTAGATGACATTGTCACATGCATAAAACATTCCGGTAGCTGTAGCAAATTTTGATACAACTTAAAAAAAAAAATAATGTCTGCAGTTGTACTATAGGAGTATTTGGCAGGGACCTAAACCTACCTAGCCCAGGGGGTTGGAGGAAGAAATATTTAAGCTGTGGCCAGAAAGATGAGTAGGAGTTCAGCAAGCACAGGAAGTGGATGGGGAATGTTTGGGTACAGGGAACATGAGAGGTAAAAAGCAAGTCTGAAGAACTGAGAGCTGTTCAGTGTTGCTGGGTCATAGCAAGTGAAGAGTGGTGACAAAAGAAGATACTGGAGGTAACCAAAGTGGCTTGCATTTTACACGAACAACAGTGTGACATCATTAAAAGTTGGAAGCACAAATATGCAAAACCGCAGAACCAATTCGTGAAATAAGTAGCTTGACTTGAAGTGTAAGCATAAAGGAAATCCATTAATTTATTTCTTCCCTGCCAGCTACAGGGACCAGCTGAAGGCTCTCTATAGTTTCAACCTATTTATAGCTGATATATAATACACATAAGAGAATGACATATAAAAATATTTTCTCTCTTATTTACAATGTGGGTGCCTGCATACTCAGTATCTTCACTGCTCAACAGCCACTATAGCTGAGAGGGGACACACAGGCCATCCTCAGCCATGACTAGAGGGCTTAGTCATGAAGCAATGGTAATCAGGTAGAACCAGGTAGAATCAGGTTGAGCCAAATGTCTTCAGTTTGAATCCTATCCAGTTCCTTTGCTCACCTGGTGTCATTTAACCTCTCTCCACCTGCAATGAGAATTATTTCTCCTATGTCGCCTATGTTTCCTATGTCTCCTATTTCTCAGATGAGCTTGGTGAACTGTGCAAAATCACAGAAGCTCAACGTTTTTCTTCTCTGTGTTCAGTTCCAGAAGAATCTGAAAGCTCTGCCCAAAGGTGGACTTTCACCTCTGGCATAAATTCCAAGGATGGCTTTAGAAATCAGTCTCCAGTGTTTAACGAAAAAAATCCACAAAGTTGGAGCCAGCTTTCAGCAACAAGGGCAAGCCAGAGGACTCCAGAACTCAACGACAGAAATGCCTGAGCAGCAGTCACATCCATAGATTCTTTTCTTCTAAATGAGCTGCTAACAGAGACATTTGGAACAAAGGAACCTTTGCAATCCTTTAACTCCATTAAGTCAAAGCAGTATTATAAAGTATGCTGACTGCCAGTCCAATTTACAAGTCTGAACAAGTCTGAATGGACAATCTAGGCAAATTCAACCAACCTAGGTCATTTATCATTTTCTAATTTAAAAAAATTTCTTATCTTTAAAAAAGTTTCTACACCAAATTCCACAATTTGCAAAATGTTGATGTGTTGTCAAAATGCTTTAAATTTTTAAGATGATTTATCTATTATATTACTATTTAATTACTCTCAGTGTATGCTGACTCTGACAACAGAATTAGTTGTAACTGCAGATGAATACATTAATTTATAAAACAGTGGTAGAAGAGTCACAATTCTAACTGCTAAGAATGCCCATATTTTCTATCATTAACATAATTTTACATCTTCAGGAACACTCAATTCTATTTCTAACCTTTCCCACAGTCATAAAAAATGTTTTCTCGTAGCTACTCACTAATTGAGAAGAAATTTAAAAGAAACACGAACCATTTTCCTATCATTGTAATCTCCGTTCTCCCCATCAGCTGTGTAATTATGCAAAAGCACTTAAGCTTTATGGAAATTTGAAAGTTCTTCTGGCTGACTGTGAACTATGTCCATCCACTAAAGTTCTCTTTAGTAATACTCCAAGTAAGTCCTGAGCTATAGTTGGAAGCAGAAAGGTTGTATAGGGACATGATTCCTGTGCCTAGCTCTTTGTCTACCTTGCCACATGTTATCTGACCAAGTGGCCAAGGCTACATGGCACGTGGGTCACAGAAAGGCAGCCTTCCTGGGTCTCAAACCCCATTCAGTAAGATGACAGTAATAACTTTCATCAAGCCCACTCAGAGATATGGTGAAGCTCAAATAAGAAAACTTATTTGAAAGTGCTTAGAAAAGTTTTAAGTACTTTCCAAAAGTATGGGGTCATTATTAAACAATCCTTTTTGATTGGAAAAGAAGCTTGTTTTTTCTTACAAAAAGCTGAAATCATAAGAATCTTTTTTTTTTTTTTTATCCTCACCAGAGGACATCCTTCCATCTTTTGTTCAGATAGAGTGGGAGGGAGAGAGAGAGAGAGAAACATTGACGTGAACGGGACACACCGAGTGGTCGCCACCCACACGACCCAACCGAGGCACGTGCCCTTAGCGGGAACTGAAGCCCGGTCTCCCTGGACTGTAGGCCGATGCTCTAACTGCTGAGCCAAACCAGCCAGGGCAGGAATCTTTTTTTTTTAATAATAGAAGCTAAAATTATACTGCATATTTTTAAAAAATATATTTGTATACTAGATTTCTAATCCATTTAATGTATTGGCTTTGCAGTTGGAATTAAGGAGTTCCCATCAATAAGTAGAAAGTCAGGGCAACAATGAGAAGCAGACAAAATGGGGAGGAGAAGGTCTGGTAGGCAGCTGATGGCATAAAAATGTCTTCATACTTGTAAATACTGACAACACGCTCTGAAGTTGGTGGCGAGTCTATATCATGCCGGGTAATAGAGCCTTTAAGAAAGAAATAAAGAGGAGGGGGCAATAAAAAAAAGAAAAAGCACAGATTTAAAATGATATATACTAACAACAGAAACACGAAACAAACATCTTTCATGTTGAATATACAAACAGTGATTATAAAGATCTGGAATCAGGTATCAAAACTATCAGAATTCTCTATAATTGCACATATAATGAAGAACATGGAAATTAGTTAAATTTACCCAAAAAGACTGGTTCTCACCCCTGCCAGAACGATGCTATCGGTCTCTCCACGGCACCCCAGCTTTAAGACTGCTATTAAGTATTGTATGAATGCCTACTTTTAAGGTCTCTGATGAGTTTTATTTTATTACTATAAAATGAAAAACTACATTTTGATTTCAAAGAGCAAGAACTGCTAATTGTTTTCCTCAAATATATATTTTATATATAAATTATTAATAACTCCTGGATACACTGAACTCCCTTACAGATGGAGGCCTCTCTTGCACTGTCTGTGGGACATGAGGTGGTAGCCTGCCCAGGCCAGACCAGAGAGGGTGTAGTGTGCTGTATGGGGGGGTGTGTGTGTGTCTGTGTGTGTCTGTGTGTGTGTGTGTGTGTGTGTCTGTGTATGTCTACATGTCTACCTGGCAGAGTAGAATGGAATGATATAGGAAGCAGGAGGATTAACATACCAAATAAATATTTGGATGGGAAACTTGTTTTTGACCTGATTAGAAGTGAAAGAAGAAAAGGCTCGTGTAAAGACTACTTCACAAACTGCCATTGATTAGAAGTGCCTGATCTCCTAATCCATGTGAATATCCATAAGGATATAAACCCTATGAATAATCCATATAAAACTTGGGTTAGGGAGACTAAGGCAGATGAGTTCAGAGCAAAGGTCTCCTTGGAAACAGGGCTCAGAGTGAGGGTTTTTCAGGTCCTATCTGCTAGGGAAGCCGTGCCAAACTCGACATGTTATTTCCCTGCTCCGGTGTTTGCGCTGTCTCCTGTGAGCACAAATCCAACTCCTCGGGTTGGCACGAAATTTTTCTCTCAACAGATCCCTCCTACCTCTCCTACCTAACCTCGCTCATTGGTCACCTACACGAACAGACTCCTAGGCTCAAGCAAGCAGCTCTGGCTCATGCCTGCCTTAGGGAAATCTAACCCATATCCCTCTTCAAACCTTAGCTAAAAGTTTATTGCCTCTGAGAGACCTTAAGAAAATGAAAAGTTGTGATCGATACAGAGGTATTAGAAGGGCATCCAAGAGACAGGTAAAGCACAGCCTGTCTGTGAAGCAAGAATGTGCCTGTTTGGAGACAGTGAAAAGAACAGAAATCCTGGGAGATCTGGTCAGGCAAGGCAGGAAGGCCTGCCATGCTGGCTGTTGTGCCAAGTGTGTAAGAAGATGGCCTTCTGAAGTACAGCACCTTCTCATTCATAAAGCAATTCAAATACTTGTGTTGATCTAATCCTTACAGTCATTCTATAAAGACAAAATTATTATTATTCCCATTTTGGATACAAAGAAATCAGAATTTAGATAAAGGCTACCAACAGCTACCAAGGGGGCAAAATCGATGCACAAACACAAAGTTTTAGATGCCAAATCCCATCATTTTTAAATGAGTTCATTTCTCCAGGCTAAGATATCATTAATTTCCCAGGGCACTGAAAGTCTTCAAAGACATAACTGCAGATCCACTGTTGGTAATCTGGGAAATAAGCAAATGGGAAAGATGCCACAAATCTGAAGGCATCCAAGTATTTTCCCAATTAGAACCAGGCAAAATAAAATAAAAAAAGATTATGAAATCTCCAGACCAATCAATGGAAATAATTTGGGGGTGTGTGGAGCAGATCAGATTGGGCAATACACAGTTGATGAGCACATAGTAAAAGGGGCAAGGGAGAATAATGGAATAGAGAGCTAATCACAGTGGTATAGTAGCCACAGTTATAAGAAATGTTCATCATCCTTCGCCATGTTGATCGTGATTGCTTTGTTCTGATTAAAGAGCCTGGCTGGGAGGTGTGCGCCTCAGGAGTTTACCTCGGGAATGCTGTCCATTCTCCTGTTCTGAGAACAGGGGCCGACCTGACATCATGGGCAGATTAACAACCTGATTACTGGAACACTGGACCCGAAATGGCGATACTCGACCAGACCCTGCAGCCCCTGGCCCACATTCCTCCCCCTTGCCTGTAACCATTTTACCCACTTTGTTTTTCATTTTTGCCTACTGCCTTTTCTCAGGTAGTCATTGACCCCTCAACCCTTTAAAAGCAGCTGGCAAGTGGGAGGGCAGATTTTATGAAATGACCCACTGCTCTCTCATACTGCTGGTGATATTGGAATAAACACTCATATACGATTCAATCTTGTCTCTGCTTAATTGGCTCAAGTAGTGGCAGGCGGCCCAGACCTATTTGTTGTCCAGTTTCAATAGTAAAGGAAGACGCAACTCCCAGGAGCCAGAAGAGTTCTCACAGAAAGACTGCAAACAGCCTGGCTGGTGTGGCTCAGTGGACTGAGTGTCATCCATGGACTCAGAGGTCCGGGTTCAATTCCCGGTCAGGGCACATGCCCAGGTTGCAGGCTCAATCCCCAGCAAGGGGTATGCAGGAGGCAGCCGATCAATGTTACTATCTCTCTCCCTTCCTCTCTCTCTAAAAAAATCAATAAAAACATTTTTTTAAAAAGACTGCAAACAACTCATGTCCATTTTTGGTCAGACCATTAGGCTGATCAACTTGGGGAGTGCTGAAGACACAGTGTAACTTGATTTTAGCAGCCTTGCAAAGGTCTCATGATATCCTGGGGTCTTTGTTGGGGAGATGCTGAAGGAGTCTTGCCATCCAAAGTGAGGTCATCCATGGACCAACATCAGTGGGAAGCTTTTTAGAAATGCTGAATCTCAGGCCTCACCCCAGACTTACTAAATTGCATTTTAACGATAAAGCTAGGCAATTTTAATACATGTTAAAATTCAAAGAGTAATGGGCTAAAATTATAGGATAATTTGGTGGAATTGTGAGCATCAGAATATTCATAAAGTGAGCACTACTGACATGCTTGTCAAATTTCTAGAAGTCTCCAGAAGCCCTTTCCTGCTCAGTACTTTTTTATATTTAGAGCGTAAGGGCTAAGAATTATCACTGACTTTGGAGTCAGACAGACCTAGGATTGAATATTAGTTTTCCCATTAATTAGAAGTAAAGCCTTGAGCAAGTTCCTTAGTCTCTCTAAAAGGAGGACATAATACCTATACCTGTCAAGGATGTGGTGAGGAATAAATGGGAGCATGGTGAGAATTAATTAAATATAGCCTACACCCCACAAATCCCAGATCAATGATCTGTTTCATTTACCTCTCAGCTCATTGTATATTATTTTGCATTGTTCTGGCTATGCATGTGTATAACTTTTCCATTTGTATGTTCATGTGTATGATAAGCCCATTATAACCTCCTGAAGGCAGGATCATATCTCCTTTTTAAAAATATTATCCCAAGTGCTTATTACTCTCTTGCCCAGTAAAGAATGAATACCAGTACAGTGGTGTCTGGTATTCAATCCAGATGCCAAAATGTAAGCTTACCCTGGATGGCTGGACCCCAAGCAAACAGATAATACCAACTCAAATGCAGGTCAACAATTGTTTCATCTCTGGGAACATTCACAGGGCGTTTAAATCTGCAGGTGACTCGATTGTTCTCATAAACTCCTTCTTCATCTCTGGCGGGGTTTCTCTGAATCTCCTTTGCCCACTGGCCTACATTATAGAAGTGCTGTATGCGGACCCTGCCATTGTCATCATGGACGCAGGCCATGACATCGTCACCACCCTAACATGAAAAATAATGAAGAAAAAATGTCAAAGCTGCGTCTTTTGCAAACTTTTCTGCTACAAAGCAATTTCACTCAGAAATATATATTCCATTACCTCTGTGATTTGAAGTCCCACCCCCAAAATCAACCAACCCTTCCTTCTCTGTTTAAATTAACTTGCATTTTTTTAAACTTGCAACCAGAGAGCCATACTAATACAATCATTATACTGGTTTAATGAATTTCTTTGCTTTGCAAAAGACAATCAAATGCCAGAAATTAGCTTCTCGCATTCACACGTGGCATGATAGCTTAGAGAAACATAGCCATGCCCATTCTCTGAACTCTAAAGCCACACAGCAAATTGAAGAGAAAAATAAACTCTATCATGATGTGCATCTTACCATTTTCCTGTCTGAAGAGAATCCAACTGCTACCCAGCCGTCTGTATCTGCACTCAGCTCAAATTCCACATCGGCCCCTATCATCCGGTAGCTAAGAAAGTAGTCACAGGTCTCTGCATTACAGCCTGGTTTACCGTATCTATAGGAGACATCCGAACAAATATTACTCAAGAGGGTAAAGGGGGTCAAATATATGGTGATGAAAGGAGACTAGACTTTGAGTGGTGAGCACACATGTACTATCCACATAGTGTATTATGGAATTGTATATCTGAAACTTACATAATGTTATTAATCAATGCTACCCCAATAAATTTAATTAAAAAACAGACATTACTCCTTCATCTTCTTTTTTAATTTGAAAATATATTTATTGGTAAAACTACATGATATAAATAATTTTGAAGCTAATGTGATCATATTTATTATTTTTTCAACTTACTTATTTTTATTACAGATGTTTCTCCTTTTTCTCCCATTGACACCCTCCTCTCCACTCCCGTCCCCGCTTCACAGTTTTGTTGTCTATGCCCATTGACTTCTTCATCTTCTTATTCAAAATATATTAAGAGGGAATCTATCAATCAGGCAGGATGCTAAGCAGCATTATAGAATAAATTAGATCTTTGTTCCCTGGGGTCTCAAAAACAGTTTCACTCAGGAGGGACCTCGGAGAAGATCTGCTCCACTTTATCTGCATGTACACAGGGGCCCAGAGACCGGAAGGGCTCTTCTGAGGTTGCACAGTGAGTCCGTAGCGGCAACAGGACTTGAACCTGCAGCTCCAGACTCCCAGCCAGTGTTCTCTGCACTGTATTAGTGTCTCTCAACTATTAGTTATTACTGAATTATTTCTGAATCCCCTTTAGATGAAAAAATTCTCCAAGTTAATAATTTAAATTATTTTTGTTAATTAAATGTACACCAATTCTTTTTTAAAATTTGCAATTAAACACTAAATCACAAACTAAATATAAATTAAACCACAAAAACAGGAACAATTAAACTTACAGCATGCGTGTGATGGATGGTGTGGTTTTACTGAAAATTCTGCTTACATGCGTATGGTATGTCTGACTGTACTTTTTTCTAGAAACATTAACTTATTAATAACATGAAAAATCTTTTTTAAAAGCCTATTAAGAAATAAAATTAGACCTAGATCATAGATAGACTCTAAGCTAGACTAGACCCAGTCAGGGTGTCCATATTTAAATTGGACTTTTTTTCCCCCAAGAAAAAAGAATTTTAATGTGTAGGGTCTTTTTTTTTATCCTCACCAGAGGACACTCTTCCATTTTCTGTTCAGATAGAGTGGGAGGGAAGGAGAGAGAGAGAGAGCGAGAGAAACATCGATGTGAAAGGGACACATCACATCGAGTGGCCACCACCCGCATGACCAACCAGGGTCGGGGACAAACTGCAACCAAGGTACGCGCCCTTAGCAGGAACCGAACCCAGGTCTCTCTGGACCACAGGCCGAAACCCTAACCGCTGAGCCAAACCAGCCATAGCTGGCGTGCAGGGTCTTCTGACTGAGCATGTTCTTACTATTAAACATGACTCACTCTCCGTCACTTTCACCTGAACTACTGCAAAACCCTTGTACATACAATGCACCAAATGAATGCTTCATCTGTTCTTCACTGAGCAGGGATGCATCATGTCCTTATAAAGTCTGCCTTTCCTCTGTGGGTACTAGTACAATTAGAAATTCAGACACTAAAGCCTACAGCAGTATAACGTGGTTATCTATGTAACCAGATTATGCATACATTAATCTTTTAAAGAAGCATCACTGAAATAAAGACACAACTTTATTTTATTCATTTATTTTTAATTTACCTGCACAATTTTTTTAATTTAAATTTTTTTAAATGTTCAATGACAGTTGACATTCAACATTACATTAGTTTCGAGTGTACAGCATAGTGGTTAGACGTGTATATAACTTCCAAAATGATCTTCCTGATACATCTAGTACCCACCTGGCATCATACATAGTTATTGCAATATTATTGATTATATTCCCCATGCTATACTTTACATCCTCATGACTATTTGGTAACTTCCAATTTATACTTCTTAATCCCTTCACCTCCACCCCCCCACACACACCCCCAGTCTGGCAACCATAAGTCTGTTCTTTGAATCTGTGAGTCTGTTTCTGTTTTGGAAACACAAATTTAAATGTTCTTACAGAGAACTTGTAGATCCTTTAAGAATTGACAAGTCTTAGTTTGAGGAACGCTGTTTTATGCCCTTTTCAGAAGGACAGAAAAGTATAGCAGTGGGTGGAACAATCTAAACTCAGATGGAAGGTATCTGAAGGAACAAGACACAAAGCTGCTAGTGTAGACTGAGGAGGGAGGCAAGGACTAGGTCAGTATGCTGGCAGAGGCTCTGAACAGCCAGGAGGAGATGTAAGCTCCGGACAACATGGAACTGGGGTGAAAAGGCTAAGAAAAGCTAAAGAAGAAGTGAATGGACCAGCAGGGTACGAAAACTCCTTTACTTCTCAAATACACCCCCAATCACCAGAATTATACATTACTGGCCATCTTCCTTAATACTACAATTACTGGATCTATTTTTATTCCTTAGAATGTTTTGGTAATCCAAAGAAAGCTCAAACCCCCCATAATTCAGTTGTTGTTTTTTAACCTCACCTGAAGATATTTTTCCAATGATATTTATTTATTTATTTTTAAATTTTTTATCCTCACCCGTGGACATTTTCCCATTTTTTGTTCAGATAGAGTGGGAGGGAGAGAGATGAAGAGAGGGAGAGAGAGAAACATCAATGTGAAAGGGACACATAGAGTGGCTGCCACCCGCACAACCCAACCAGGGCTGGGGACAAACTGCAACCAAGGTATGTGCCCTTAGTGGGAACCGATCCCGGGTCTCTGTGGACCGCGGGCCGAAGCTCTAACCGCTGAGCCAAACAGGCAGGGGCTCCATTGATTTTTAAATAGAGAGGAAGGAAGGGAGGAAGGGGGAGAGAGACAGAGAGAAAGAGAGAGAGAGAGAGAGAGAGAGAGAGAGAGAGAGATATGCATCGATAATAGAGAGACATGTCAATTGGTTGCCTCCTGCACAACCTCAACGTGGGCCGGGGATCAAACCTGCAACCCAGGTACACACCCCCAACTGGAATCAAACCCATGACCTTTTCATCTGCAGGCTGATGCTCTAACTGCTGAGCCAAACCGGCCAGGGGCTAATTCAGTCCCCACCCCCCTTTTATTTTTTGTTTTTCAATCCTCACCTGAGGATATTCTTGTATATATTTTCAGATAGAGTGGGAGAGAGGGAGAGAGAGACAGAGACAGAAACCTTGACATGAGACAGACACATTGACTGATTGCCTCCTGCACGACCCTGTTGGGGGTCGGGGACAAACTGCAACCGAGGTACATGCCCTTGACCGGAATTGAACCCGCAATTGAACAGTCCACAGGTGGACGCTCTAACCACTGAGCCAAACCGGCCAGGGCTCCCCCTTAGATCCTGATCACTGAACCAAAAAATTCAAAATTAGAACTTTGGTACAGTGATCAACAAAATCTTTATTTAAGGACAATTTGTTTCAGAAAATAAAGAATTCAAAGAGAAGGCTTTTCTAATACAACAGAACCATCTATGTGGGAGGCCCACTGTCTATACTACTGTTTTCTAGTCCTAGCCATCAAGTCATGATAGAATACCACTAATAATAGGTAAGAACTCATTACTCCTGAGACAATAAGCTAGATACAATCATCAGTGCTTAATGACTAATTAGTACCATACAGATACTAATAAGTCATTACTATTTGAAAAGGCATGTCTATCATTGCCTGTCTCGGCTACGCCTCCTCCTAATAGACCCAAATTTATTCTGTGTCACGTGTTTCTTCTTCATACTGCCAATTGGTTAGGAACAGACACCTGTGCCAATAGCTGTACAGAAAAAAATGAAGACGGTTCCAGTGCCAAGCTGTGTGTTAGAGATTAAGGCCTTTAAGACTGAAATGTGGGTTGGCCACCAGACACAGGCCACATCCCTGCTGAAGTTATGAAGGGGTACAGGCCCCTGGTTAGAATGGACTGCATGCAGTTTCAATACTGTCCTCAGAAGTAAATCAACATCTTAGTCTTAAAGTTATCCAACTCACAGATCTACTAACCTGAAGCATCCTTTAGTTTTCCCACAGTCCTCCACTTTGATTTTGGCAAATGGGTCCACGGGAGGAGCAGTAGGGAATGGGTAACCTGGGCAGTGAGAATACATAATGGTTAGAAAGTTCAGCAACAATGTTTCCAATGAGAATCTTAAAAAATATATTTCCTACTTTTTATCACACCCATCTAGATAGATATAAGGCCTTGGGAAAGGGCCTGTTTCAGCCTAATCACCCTCTTCATGAGAAGAGAGTGCAGGGCACACATCTTTGAACTGAGCCTTACAAGTTAACTGAGCAGAAGAGATGTTTTCCTCATTTTACGGGCAAGGAACATGAGGCACTGAGAGGGGGCATACTTTCATATAAGCACTGGCACACCACTGTGCCCTGGGAGTTTAAAAATCACAGTTTTAATACAATACACGTGCTCTAAGAGAAAAAATAAATAATGATCCAGTCATATACTCAACAGTAGAGTTTTTCCATTATATATGTCATCATAGACCTTTCTCCATCACTGTGAACTTCCATTTTCATTAAAGCTACATACAACATTTTCATATCTCACTTAATTCTCTAAACACATCATTTCTAACAGCTGTATATTTTTCTTGTAACATTACTTATCATCATAATGCATGAAACCATACGTTGAAGGGCAAGTCTGCATTATGCTTCCAGTGTGTGACAAAAATAATTTTCTCCTAAACTGTTTCCTCCATGTACAAAGGAACCAACTGTGATTCATCTTGTATTCTTTGCCCAGCATCGTGCCTGGCACTGGCCACTGAAAAAAATGACTGTCAACTGTTTTTCAAGGGAGATTTTATTTTCTTCCATTAATTATCCTTTAAGAAAAAAAAGCCACTGGGCTACACTTTCCTGGCACACAACTGTGCATTTTGGACAGTTCATTTCTAACACCCTAGACCTTGATCACACGCTTAAAATACAACCCTACTTTTCACCCCCTTTTAGTAATTGAGCCAAATGCATTACTTTTTCTACTTTTATGCTTATTTTATGCTAAGGTCTATATCCACTTCAGTACTATAGACTGACCTTGGATGAGTTTTTTGTTTCTCTCAATAGATAGATGATTGATAGATAGATAGATAGATAGATAGATAGATAGATAGATAGATAGATAGATGGCAACTGCTGAATGCTACAAACTATGTTAAGCTTCTTCATATAATGCTCTTCCTCATATTTCTCACTACAGTGTCATCCCAGGAGGGTGACAGGCCCTGACTGCACAAGAAGAGGGCCCAGAAACTCTGCATTCCCGGCCCCCTGGACCTCGCTCTATGTGTGTCTCCATGGGCTGTTCCTGAGTTGTGTCCTTTCTAACAAAACCATACTATTTGCAGGTAAATGCCTTCCTGGGTTCTATGAGACATTCTAGTGGGTAGCCCCTGAACTGGTAGCCTGTTGCTCTGAAGTAAAAACGGTCTTTTTGTGGACTATGTCCTTTTACTTGTGGGGTCTGGGATAACTCTGGGTCATTAATACCAGAAATACATTTCACTGCATTAGTTGGGGATGGCATCAGAATATAAGCAGGTTTTATAATATGACAATTTCTCCCTAGAATTAAATGATCTATTTGGCATAAAATAAGTTTGGACCGTTTGCCAGTTTTTAAGATCCTGCCAGGTTGCAAAAAGACTTTTCCATTCCCAACACAATAATCCTAAAACTCCTGCATGATGACCTTGTAAGATAATTCCCAAAAGTGACTTCAGCAGAACCTGGATCTCAAGTTCAGGCTCCAGGCGCAATTTCTCACTATGCCAACAGTGCTTCCTGCCACGCTGTCCACAGCTGCACTGCACTGGCCAGTCCTCGGCCACGCCCAAGGTCAGGAAGCACCTGAACAAAGCAGACTAATGTCCACTGTCCGTTTTTTTTTTCTTCATCCTCACCCGAGGACATTTTTCCATTTATCTTTAGACAGATTAGGAGGGAGAGAGGGAGAGAGACAGACAGAAAGAAACATCGATGTGAGAGAGACACATCGACCGGTTGCCTCCCATGCAACCCCAACCAGGGCAGGGGACGAACCACAACTGAAGTACGTGCCTTTGGCTGGAATCAAACCCGGGTCTCATTGGTCCGCGGGCCAACGCTCTAACCATGGAGCCAAACCAGCCAGGGCCATATGTTTATTTTTATCTGTGTGCATATATAATATGTACCTATATATCTTGAAAATATATAGTTTGTGTATGTTTTTCGTCTTCACAAATGACTGTGCAGTGAATCTCATCCTGTTTGTTATTTTCCTTTGGAAACCTCTCCATATATATAAGGGTGACACCTGTTACTACTCCTGACCGAACAGTATTCCGTGATGGGCATATAACATTTTCTGAAATTTTCTCCCAGGTTTGGATACTTAAAGTGCCTCCAATCTTTGCTTTCTCAAATAATGAAGCCACAGACATCCTGACACATGTTTCCTGTGGACATATGCAAGAGGTTTTTGTTTTAATAAACCCCGGGGAGCAAAAGCTGAAAACTCAATTCCACAAAGCTCAATGATATGGGTGTTTGGTCTTTTTATTACTTGGTTATGGGTTTTTGCTCATGAGAGTTTGTGTGGATTCCAGATATAAATTTACTGTTGGTTTCAGATGTTGCAATTTTTTTTCCCCTCAGTCTGCCACCAACTTTACTTTGTTTCTTTGATGTTCTTCCTTGGACCAACATCTTTGATGTAGTCAAGAAAATAATTTTTCATCTTTTGGTTTGTGTATTTTTAGAGTATTGTCTAAGACAGTGATTTTTCAACCAGTGTGCCCCAAGAATTTTTAAAACATGCTATACCTATTAGTCAGGGTCACTGACCTCTTTTCCCTTAGACTGTCAAATAAAAAAATAGCAGCAGCCAGCAGAACAATAGCTGTCCTGTGTGAATGAATCAAAATTATACTTTTTTTTTTTTTTGTCAAATTGGCAAAAAAAATTTATTTTTATATATATTTCGGATTTGGGGATTTTTCTTGCTGTTGTTTTGTTCTGATTTTGGTTTATTTGACTGTTTCTGAGCCAGGACCACACTATTTATTTCGTCGTTGTTGTTGTTAATCTTCACCGGAGGATAACCAGAGGATGTTTTTTCCACTGATTTTTAAAAAGAGTGGAAGGGAGGGAGGGAGAGGGAGGGAAGGGGGGGGGGGGGAACAGAAACATTGATGTGAGTGAGAGACGACACATCAATCAGTTGCCTCCCAAACGTGCCCCACCTGAGGCCAGGCCAGGGATAAACCTGCAACCCAGGGACATGCCCTTGACCAGAATCAAACCCCTGACCCTTTAGTGCTTGGGCTGATGCTCTAGTCACTGAGCCACACTGGCCAGGGCAGGACCACACTTTTAATTAGTAGGTTTTGTAGTATATCTTAGTATCTAGCAAGACAAAACTATATTAGTAATTCATGAAGCTTAAATCTTCCATGTAAAGTATAGAAATTAATTTGTCAAGTTCTCTCCAAAAATGCTTGTCTGGGACTGCATTAAATGTTCAGATAAATTGGGAGAGAACTGACATCCTTATCACTCCAAGCTAATCCTTCCAAGATCATGGTATATCTCTACATTTATTCAAATCTTTTTTTTTTTCATCCTCACTCAAGGATACTTTTCCATTTATCTTCAGATAGAGTAGGAGGGAGAGAGAAGAACATCAACGTGAAAGAGACACATCAATTGGCTGCCTTCCTCAAGACCTCGACCAGGGCCGGGTACCTAACTGCAACCAAGGTACGTGCCCTTGACCGGAATCAAACCCGTGGCTCTTTAGTCCGCAGGCTGACGCTCTAACCGCTGAGCCAAATCCACCAGGGCTGTTCAAATCTCTTGTATCCCTTCATGGTTTCAGTTTTTTTCCATGCAGGACCAGTGCATTCTTTGCTAGGTAAAACCTGGACACTTTAGATTTTTGTTGCTATTTTAAACAATATCTTGTTCTCTTTTACTTTTTCTAGTTTACTATTGCTAGAGAAGAAGAGAGCTGTTGGTTTATGTGTTAATCTTGCTTATGGAAACCTTACTGCATTCTCTTGATTTTGTTTGCTGGTTCTTTTCAGTTTTCCAGGTAAATGTTCATATCAAGAGAAATAGAAACATATGTTCACATCAAAACATGTGCACTGGTGTTCATGGCAGCATTATTCATAACAGCCAAACCCAGGAAATAACCATATGTCCATCAACTGATGAATAGGTAAACAAAATACTGTATATTTATACAAAGAAATTACTCAGCCATAAAAAAGAATGAAGCACCAATATATGCTACGACATAGATGAACCTCAGAATCCTTTTGCTAAGTGAAAGAGTCACAAAAGATCACATAGTGGATAATCTCATTTATATGAAATGCCCGGGAAAGGCAAATATTGAGAGTAAAATATTATTGGTTGCCTAGGGTGGGGGTGGGGGAGAAAAGGGATGAGAGGTTTGCAAAGTAATATAGCTAAAGGGTACAGAATTTCTTTGGAGGAGATAAAAATGTTCTAAAATTGATTGTGTTGATGGTTGCACAACCCTGCGAATATACTAAAAACCACTGAATGGTATACTTCAAACCGGTAAATTGTAAGGTACATGAATTATATCTTAATAAAGCTAGTGCAAGAAAAGAAAAACAATAAATATTTTACATACCACTCCCTTGCTCCACTGAACCCAGCCCTGGCTTTAAGTGTCATGCATCTAATGATGGAATAAAAATCTTCCATCAATCAGGATTCAAGGTGGTACTCTAGTCTCTGCAAGACACGCAAGTACACTAGAGAGAGGCTGAGACAGACGCAGAGGGAGCCAATCCACTGTTCCTGCCAACTTCCGCCTTCTTTATTTAGTTTATTTGTATTCCCTTTCCCCTGATTAACCTTGCCAGGAATTTGTTATCTTATGAGATATTCAAAAAGCCAGCTTTAGGTTTAGGTAATCATCCTCATTGTGTGTTCCATTTCATTTATTCCTATCCAGATCTGCATTATTTTCTTCTTTTTGTTTCCAGTTTGAGTTCAATGCTTAGCTCATTTTTTTCAATCCTTCTTATTTTTCTGATAAAT